AACTATGAATTCCCATTTTCAATGAGTTAAGGCTAGGAAAACTGCAGGGAAATTTGGTGTTTTTTAGCGCTAAAGCAAGCAGCTGCTGCTGATGACATATACATGAAACCACGTGGCTAATTAATTTGAGTAATATTTGATAAGCCCGTGTACTTTTCGTTTTCTTAAATGCGTGACTGCAATGAATTTAACTACTTAAACAAAAACAAGCAGAAAAACAACAAACCTTTGTTACATTTAATGCCCAATTAACGCATTTGCCACTTAAAATTCAGCCAAGCACAAAATTCGTAAGCTTTAAAGAAAGCGAGAGCGAGAGCGATAGGGAGGAGCGAACGCCAAAGGCAAAACGTGCCACAAAGCACAAAAGGTTACAGAGCAGAGACTTTGCTCCTCTTTATCCTCGTACCTACGAGCTCAAAGTACTCCGTGACTTTGCCCACAAGAAAACGAAACATTTGTCGTTTGACTGCAGTTTGGCACAGGGAAAGAGAGAGTAATAGAGCGGGTGGCAGTAGCTCTGTGGAGCTGCACTTCATTAACAACAGAACGTGGGCAGCGCGAAGGGAACGAAAGAGAGAGAGCGCGATGAGCGACTGGTGGTGAATGTAGCGGTAACTTTGTCGTTAGGCGACTTATGACTCCTGCAATTACAAATACAAACGCGCAAAAAGAAAGAACTCAAAATGAGTGATGTAATGCGCATAACGGGACTCCCTGCTGCCTGCTCGCTGCTCTCTGCTGCTAGTGCTCTATATTTCTGTCACTCATTGTTGCTTGTTGACATAACGAATGCCTTAACATCGCTTTTTATACCCTACAGCCGTTAAGCATTTGCCTAAATGAGGTATAATGGCTTGGTGTAAATGTTTTTATGACTAAATGTGGAACACTTTACGTCAGCATCCGCAGAGGTATGTTAATTTGTAAGTGTTTCTTGCCATATTTTTACTGTTGTTGAACTCAGTGTAGGTAAGTTTAAGCATGCCGTTGCTTAGGGTATTCCTTAGTCGTTATATAATGTCTTGTGCAGTCTTGTTATTATTTTTTTTTTTGAGTGGTTGCTCCTGCACAACCCCCTCGACCCCTTAGCGTGTGCACTTCCGCTCCACTTATACGCATAACTCGCATTGCGCTGCTGTCGAGCGGTTTGTCGAGTTAATGACACTGGCAGCTGGAGTCGTCATACCGTTATCCCACCGCGTCCCGTTGGCACCCTGCGCTCTGTTCCGCTGCCAATGTCGCCGAGGCGTGCAAAAATCATTTTTCTCGCACATTTTTTACAGCCCTCTTCAGCAACATTTTATTTATATTTTTCATTTTTCACATTTCTCGTAGCGACAGTAAAATTGCCTATAATTGTATGTGTGTGAGTAGGGAACTCAAGGTGTGTATGTGTGAGCGCTAGGGAGGCAAATAGCATTTTTTTCGGCTTCTGCAGTTGACAGTTAATTATTTGTATAAATAGGCGCAGATGTTGCGAGTGCTGAAGGGTTCAATCGATTATCTGACAACTGCCTCAGCTATTATTGTTGAGCAATTCCATATTATAATAGAATTTCCTAGATATCATTAAAAAATAATGATAAACATTTGTGGGTTCTTCCAAAGTAAGCAGAAGCTATGTTCGAGGGGTACATGGATGATGCTAAAATAATGGTGATTAATATATAGATATATATTTTATTAACATTTAAAATATTATATGTAACACTTTTAATCTTTATATATCATTCTGAAAAACAAATTATTATTTCCTTATTTTCAGATTCTGCCTTAAGAGCTTATTTATGGTAATAATATCATATCTCTATTGTTCCTCTTCTCCCACTTTCTGAACTTCACTTCCAGCAAATTGGAAAAATCACATAAGTTTCATGACAAATTTGGAAGTCTTTTCATTATAGCAAAAAGATTTGTTTGTTTTTGAGGATTCAGGGAACAAAAGTTTGGAGTCAAGTTAAACTAGGTCAACACAGGTTTTTCTTTTTTTGCACTTTGATAAAATGCACAGTTTAAGTTAATTTCTGAAACTTTGAAATGCCATTTTTTTTTAAGTCTTACTTACGACATTTTATCAGCTCAGCTCAACTCTTTGCACAGTCAACAAAAACGAGCTAAAACTTTGTAACTAAGTCAATTTCTATTGAACATTTTGTCAGTTGCCATTTGTGTGTTGGGTCGACATATCGCCATGGGCGTGGACATGAATGGGGGGCATACTGCATGGGAATGGGCTCTATTTGCCAACAATTGTTTGTGGCTTGCGGTGACGGCTACTGCTGCTGCTGCTGTCAATCTCATGGGTCGAATTAAAAATGCAAAATGTCATGAAAACGAGTGGCTTTTTGCAGCGCTTTGATTCGGTTGGAGTTGTTTGGATATTTGAAATGTTCAAATGCCCAACCACAAAGTAAATAACACAAAATGCACATTCAATGGGATGAAAACAATTAAATACAGCTATAAAACGTGCGGTTTAAGATTTATGAAATATTCAGCTTGGCAGCAATTGGCTGGGCAACATGTTGTCTGAGGCTTATAATCATGCAAGAAGTGAAATCGGGAGTTACTCATGGCGTCTCTCAATGGATTTATAAAACAAGGTATATATATAGGGGCGTAGCAATTGCTACATTTATCAGTTAGAACTTTGTTAAACTCTTTTACTCATAAATCTTGCAATTATTGCATGTTAAGCAACATTTATTGCCTTGGCAACATTTGAGCCTAGCAACATTTCACATTAGCAACAAGTGTTGACAACGGTGTTGAGCATTGATTGTCGGCTATTAGAAGACTAGCTTTAATAGCGATAATCATAACAAGCACAGAAATAACATGAATAAATTTATGAGCTGCTTGAATTAATGAACTGGACAATGTCGAGTATATCTTTATATATATAGAATTACATTAATATAAATATATGTATATATATATATTAACATTTTGCATTCGTGTGTTTTATGAGTTTGTATCGCTTGTAGCTGAGTCAGCTGTAACTGTTTGCTGCATTAATGCAAAATAAGCCATATTTCGTTATTCAATAACATTGAGCTGAGTGTGTGACTGTGTGCACACTCTGATAAGCAGACATTCAGCAATGTTTTGTGAGAGTTCACATAATTTACTCATTGAACTCGTCAAATAGTTCCAGTTTCGATGTTTGTTAGTTTTGCCTCTGTGTTTGTTGAGTGCTGTAAATAGACGAATTCTAATTTTAATTTTGTGTGGTTTCCGAATAGCCCTCAAAGCGGGTCATCTGATAATTTGATACTAGCTTATCAGCGGCAGCTTCTGACCAATTCAAAAACAATAATCGCATAAACATTGTGTTTAACTAAAATATTTAAATGCACTTTGACCAGGCCAATAATAAAACTTAATTGTTTTTGACTAGCTCGCAGTTTTGTGAAATCATATGCCATATCTATTGCAATGATTCACAGTTAATCAGCAGTTCTCTGTTTTCATTTGCTAAGGTGATTAAGTTAATTGTTTTTAGTCTAGGTATAAGCGATCACATAATTTTTTTATAGCTATCAAAAATGTTTTGTTTTCTAATTATCAAGAAATACTAAATAATTTCTGAAAATTAATTTCATAATATTTTGATGTCTCAGTTCGTATAAAAATTCTAGCATCAGTCAATCAGCAAGTCTGTAAGTTAGTAGACCAGACTCTTACCGTATAATTCAGTAAATTAAACAATCAATTTTGTGTGTGTCAATCTCACTCAATCAATCAATCAATTATTTAGTCAGTCAGCTCTTCAGTTAATCTGGAAATACTCTGTCAATCAGTTAGTCACTCGGTCAATCAGCAATTACTCTATTAATGAGTCTGTCAATCAGTCTTCAATCAGTGAACAGTCAATCAGCATTCAGTCTATAAGCAGTTAACCAGCAATCAGCCAGACAATCAGTTATTCAATCAGGCAGGTAATCGGTCAGTCAATCAGTTATTCAGTCAGTCAGTCAAGCAATCAATCAAACAGTCAATCAGCAATCGGTCTATTAATTTATCAGGTTTGATTGAAGCCTGTCAATCAATCAGTCAATCCGTCTATTAATCTGCCAAACAATAGGACAGTGAGTCAAACAGAACAGGATGCTTTAATCGGGAGTGGAATAGGAAATTCTCCGAATCGCGCGTTGTACCCTATAAAAAAGTTTTGGGGGATTGGGGTATACAAACGTACTTAAATGTTATTGTGATTATGATTATTGTGATTTTTATAATTTAGTTCATTTAGTCAGTATCATGTGTCTTCCATGATCTGTAACTCTTTCTTCCGCCTGTTACATGCATTTTATCGAAACCCGTATACCCTATAGACCCTTGGCTTTAGGCTGTGAAATCAGCATTATAAAGCTAAAATAACCATTTATTATACAAAAATGCTATCATTGTGTATAGGTCATTCGGAAGTCAACAACAATTACTAATAATAATTATAGATTATCAAGTGCAACTTGATTGTGTTAGATTCGGACTTTGGTTTTACAACAGACTCGAATCTAAAATAAAAATAAAACAAAAATATTGCCTTATCGGCAATCAAATTATTCGATTATTGGGTCAGGTTTGTAAACTGGTTTCAAGATATACCACGCATGAAAACGTCATGGCTGTGACGTACTGTTCAATATGATAATTACGAATACCTATTGAAATATGGTAGCTAAGCAGCAATCATTGAGAGACGCGACGACGAGATATACGAGTTTGCTGTGAAGTTCAGAGATGAGCGTTTTTTTGGGACTGGTTGGGCAGATACAAAGTGTGTGGGTCGGAAACTAGTAATTAATATAGTAAATGCTACGACAAAGTTCAAATCAAGGCAAGATACACAGGCAAACACGATTCAGTCACAAATGGTCGACGGAACGAATCGCACCAACAATTCGAAAAGAAAAAAAAAGAAGCAAGTAAAGCAAATATATATTTTTTTTATTTTGTAATTTGTTTTCGCTCACAAAGAGGTAGCTAAGGGGGAAGTATTATTAATATTTATTTATTTATGCTGCTACTCGCCCGAGCAATTGGCCTGGCAACATGACGACAGCAGGGCAGTGAATGACGCAGTTGTGATTTACAAGCGGTCGAATGCAGAGCTCAAGAGTTCAGCAACCAGATAAACCAGCCTAGAAGTCGCGTGCGTAAACCGAAGTCAAAGTCAAGACTTCAAACATCTGTTATACATATACACACATATATATACAGCATTCTAGATGCTGTGAAATGAAGGCAGCTCTAATCTGAAGCCGGACTTGTTTGCCTATCAGCAGTGGCTGACGAAGCCGCGGGTTATCATCGAACTTGACCAATATTTGGTTTGTTTTTGTTTTCTTGTTGTTGTGCGTTTGGCGTGAATCAATTGAAAGTATAACACACGCACACACAAACACACACATAATCGAAATTATCGCTTATATTTTACAGTTTTCATTTCATCGCGACGAAAGTTTCATTGGCATCGGCAGTCAACATTTGTACCTCACAGCGTTCACAACAATAGAAATTATTTATAATATATATTCAAGATATACTATATAAAAATATATATACAAGAATAATGTCATTAAAGCCATTGCTGCTATTTGGCTTGTGCCTGTGTCTGGCTCCTCTGGAGAGCCAAGCGGATTTATCATTTATCTTCGGAAATATTTCGCTATTCAATCTGAACTTCAAGACGCCAACATTGTTGGGGCGCTCCATTACTGTAAATAGCAATGTGCAAATTGATACTACTGTGGATCCCAATATACAGGAGGATTCACATTTAGATACGGTAAGTTAAAATGAAAACATAATCAAGTTTTGGTATTAGGCAAAAATAGCAAAACGCAAAAAAGTGTCTAAAAATAATATGATTTAATTCCTAAATGTGTATAAATTTATATAAAGAAAAATATGGCAGATTAAAATTTTGTTTACAATTTTATTAATTATATGTAGAGAGTACATATTATTTATTAATACATATATATATATAATATCTGCAGTTATTAAATAATTATATATTACCTAAAAATCAAAACCCGTTTAGCTTACAGTTAATTGATAAAAAGCCGATTGGCAGGTTATTTAATTGTCATTAATTAGTTATAATAATGCATAACTGATGATATTCACGCTTAATGGTCATTTGAATTTAACAATTGGTTTTCACATTTCATTATTTTATTATACGATTTCTTCTATGTTTTTATTGTTTTATGAACTTTGGTTTTACTTGTATAAAAATAAATTAAAAAATATTTTCAAAGAATTTTATTTTTATTTTTAACAATATTTTTATGTTTTTGTTTTAATATAAAATCAAAATGTATTTTAATAAAAATTATTTCTCAACCATTTTTAAACTAAGTTATGAAATCTTTAATTTTTTTATTTCATTTTATATATTTAATTTTATAAGCTCTTGCACTTCATTCAATGTTATTAATCTTTCAGATAATTACAAAATACTTGCTATAATATCTGAGCTAATTGTTTACAATCAAACAAATTTTTAAAATCTTACATATATAATTATTAAATTATAGTAATTATATATAAATAATCATTACTTTTATTAAATTTTTTAACATATTATTATAATTAATTTTTTAGATTTTAAAGACTTTTTTCGTTTTAATATCAAAATAATTGTTAATTATTGTTACTCATTACTTATTCTTTAAGTTTTAGAATGTTTTTAAATTGTACTAACATTCACCATTTTTCTTTCTCCTCACAGTACAGTCTTATAAAGAAATATGGTTATCCGGCAGAGAACCATAGTGTGACAACAGACGATGGTTATATATTGACAGTGCATCGCATCGCCAGGCATGGAGCAACGCCTGTTCTGTTAGTTCATGGACTCTTGGATAGCTCTGCCACTTGGGTGATGATGGGTCCCAATAAGGGTCTAGGTATAAACAATGAAATAACAATATGAAATTTAAACTCTAATTTGAAACCCATTTCCACAGGCTACATGCTGTACGAGCAGGGCTATGACGTCTGGATGGCCAATGTTCGTGGCAATACATATTCGAGAAAGCATATAAAGTATACGCATTCGCATGCCAAGTTCTGGGACTTTACATTCCATGAAATGGGCGTGCATGATATACCCAAGACAATTGATTATATACTGGACACGACGGGATTTAAGCAACTGCATTACATCGGCCACTCGCAGGGTACCGTTGTCTTCTGGATTATGGGCAGTGAGCGACCCGAGTATATGGATAAGATCATAGCGATGCAGGCTCTGGCGCCCGTTGCCTATCTGAGGCACTGCAAGAGTCCGGTCGTTAATTTCCTGGCCGAGTTTCATGCCTCGGTGAGCGTAAGTTGTTCTCTGCGATTCTCATTGCGGTTACTTATAGTGGCTTTTCGCACTCTTTACAGATCGTGCTCAAGCTGATTGGTGTTCATGAGTTTTTGCCCAAAAACGAATTCATTGTAATGTTCAATCAGCTGATCTGCGATGAAACCACCATAACGAAGGAGATCTGTTCCAACGTGATCTTTTTAACTACGGGCTTTGATAAGTTGCAGCTGAATGAGACAATGCTGCCCGTCGTGGTGGGCCATGCACCGGCTGGTGCGTCCACCAAGCAGATGCAACACTTTGGCCAGGTGCGCAGATCAGGTGAATTCCGTCAGTTCGACTATGGCTGGCTAAGGAATCACTGGCACTACAATAGCATAAGCCCACCTGCATATAAGCTGGAGAATGTCAAGGCCAAGGTTGCTCTCTACTACAGCCAAAACGATTGGCTGGCACAGCCAGCGGATGTGCAGTCGCTGCGCCGCAGGCTGCCCAACGTAGTCCATCATTATCTGGTGGACTATCCAGAGTTCAATCATCTCGACTTCATCTGGGGCGTCGATGCACGTTCTCTACTCTGGGATGCGATGCTCAAGCAAATGCGCGCATGCGAAATAGATAATAACATAGATACGACGAATTGATTAGCATAAGAACTATAATTAATATCGATTTAGTCTAGGTCCTCTCTATACTTACAGTATGAGCTCAATACAAAAGCAATTGGCCATTATTTGTTGTACATATATTAAATATTTATTAATCGAGTAAAGCTTAGTGTAATAATTACATGTTATATAGCTTTAAAGGGGGTAGATGTTAATACAAATAGATCAACATATTATTCAAAGTATTTATTATTTTTGAGAGAATAACTGTAAACTGGTCGAGCTTATAACGTTTTAGACTTTTATTAGATAGTCGAGAATTAAAATAAGCTTTAATCTTTTAACTTTCCTTTAAAGACAAAACTTCATATCTGTCTCTGGTCATTTTTCTTCTGAAATACCATTAATTTTGTGGCCTATGCAAAAAATTTGGAAACTGATTGCCAATTATCATTTTTAGCAACATTTCTTTGATAATTTATTTAAAAAAAATTTTTTTAAATATATAATAAAACAGAGTATAATAGGAGACGCGTAGTGTATGTAACTACATATAAATGTGTAAATATAAATTATTCAAAGTTATATCAGATCTTAGAGTCTACTACCAAGTTTTGCAGTCTGCTCTCTGACCTGCTCGACTGATAGAACCATAAGTTATATACTTCGCATATTGAAGCACTGCTGATATGTAGAATGCAAGGTCTACGCACTTAAATAAGCTTATAAGATAGGTATTTTATTATTTAAAAAAAATAATGGTTAATACATATGACTTCACATACAAAGTATAGAATGGGCCGCTTGCGCGTTGCCACATGATTGACCAGTTTTAAGCTGACGATCTACAAATATAGCATAATTTTGGGCACTTTTTAAACTGTCAAATTATAAAATTTAAAGCTCTTCTTGATGAATGCAGCAAATGTATTTGTACACAGTTTAGTTACTGTTATGTGTAGTTCATATTATAGAGAATATTAATATAAGTTTTTTCATATCTGTTGTAAATTTATAAAATTTTTATGAAAGCCGAAAACTGATATTTAAATTAAAAAATGAAGTATATAAAAAATAATTTGGATTTGCTTAGTATTTACTTGTATGAATATTAATTTGTTTTATTTTTAAGGTAACAATCTGCTGAAACTTTAAACAAATTTAAAAATAGCTTTGTACTTTCAGAAAATTAACTGAATAATTTAAGGCTTTGATATGAATATAAAATATAATATTAAATATAAATGACATATTTAAGTTTTAGTTACTTTCATTATTATTTTAATTTATTTAAATATTTGTTACTAACAAAGTTTACAGATCGGGATACGGACTGCGTAGTTAGCAGAGTTCAAATTGAAGCTCTACAAATCTACTTCTCTTCGCTACGTGCAGACTGCCGAAGACTTAATACCCTTCCTTATATATAACGTGCTTTTGGGCCGATCTTAACGCAGTCTATAGTTTGGTAGAGTATTAAAATGAATTTATGGCCATAAAATAAATTTCATAAATTTAAACAAATTTTGAAGTAATAAAAAATTGTTTATATGTGCATCGAATCGGGCTATAAAAGTTGCTATATAAGTGCTCGCTCAGTCTGAATTTGGTTCAGTGTAATTCAAAATTTTAAAGTGTTCCTTAACTGCAGTAATAAAGGTGAAGCATTTGGATACCAATGGATAAAGTGGATAATAGTTCGGATACCTCCAGGATATATTTAAAGAAAATAATTAAAATTGAAAAATGCCTTCTTAAAAATATGCAAAGAATCAAATTATATTGACAGTGGCACATGTTGTTGTTAGGAATATTTGGTGAATGTAAAAAGAAAGTGAAACTAAATGATTGAAGCATCGAATATCGAGTATCAAGTATCGGGACTCTGCTCTAATCTGAGTGGCTTGACTAGAAGATACTCTTAAGCCTGTGCCTAGTTGCTGCCTTTAATATTTTATATAATACATGGAGTACTTGATATTGTGTATAGCTTAGAAGAATTTATATGTCAAACTGGAGAGCAATAGCATCTTAAATGTATGAGACATGATAACTGATCACCTTTTTCAGTACATTATCGATTTTTTGTAGCAAAGTTGATTTGATAGGAGCATCAATTTCTTATAGGAGAACAGGAAAGTGGGAATAACATATTGATACTGTTGCTGATCAAGAATATAATATAATATATATATAATTTATTAAAAAAAAAAACAGAACAATAGAGGAAAAGAGCGAAGAGAGTTTTGGGGTTAAGAGTATTAACCTCGAGCTGCCATTTGCAATGGGTTCAGGTTCTATAGTCTATGAAAATTAGTGTTAAAAATAAAAATGTATATTTTATAACTTACTTTTATTTTAGGCACAACATGAGTCAACGAATTATTTTACTGGTCTTGCTTTGCTTGCATGTAACTCTCTCATTTGCTGATTCCGTTGACGAAGATGAGAATCTGCTCACGGTAATGCTATATATATAAATATAAATAAAAAATAAAAATAAAAATAATAAAAAAAATAAAAATATAAATAAACCATAAATATATAATATAATAAAAGTTTATACAAAAAAGCTAGTCTAATATGAAATAATTAAAAAATTGCATTGATTTCACAGATCGGTCTGCTGCAGAAATATGGTTACCCGCATGAGAATCATACCGTTGTCACTGAGGATGGTTATATACTAAATATACATAGGATACCAAGACCCGGAGCCAGGCCAGTTTTTCTGATGCATGGCCTAATGGATAGCTCAGCTACTTTTATATTGATGGGCCCCGGAAAGGGCTTGGGTAAAGAGGCTATAAATCAGTTGACTAAACATCTCTTTCACGCTCCTCTCTCTCCCTCTCTCTCTCTCTCTCACCTTCTCTCTCTCTCTGTAGGCTATTTACTCTATGAGCAGGGCTACGATGTCTGGATGGGCAATTCGCGCGGCAATACCTATTGCAGGGAGCATGTCAAGTATACGACAGATGAGCAGGAGTTTTGGGATTTCTCATTTCATGAATTGGCTCTCTTTGATCTGCCAATCACCATAGACTATGTTCTGCAGTTGACCAACTATACCAATCTGCACTACATTGGCCACTCGCAGGGCACAACTTCTTTCTGGATTTTGGGCAGCGAGCGACCCGAGTATATGGAGAAAATCTTGCTCATGCAGGCTCTGGCGCCCATTGCCTTCTTTGAGTATTGCAAGAGTCCGATCGTGAATTTTCTGGGCGCAACTGATTTGACCGCGAATGTAGGTCACTTTACTGTGTGAATTGATAATTTATTGATTATATTTTCTACAGCTCGTTTCACGCTTGCTGGGTCCAAGTGAATTTTTACCATCAGACGATTTCTTAAACATGTTTTCAGATGTCTTATGTAATTCCTCGCCACTTGGCCTGAAGCTATGCAAGAATGTGCTCTTTCTGTTTGCGGGCTACAGTCCAGCACAGCTGAATGAGACCATGTTGCCTGTGATACTTAGCCACGATCCAGCTGGTGCGTCTACCAAGCAGGTAATGCACTATGTCCAGTTTAGAGCATCGAATGAATTTCGCAAATATGACTATGGTCTTTTGAGGAATGTAGCACTTTATTCGAGTCCTTTTCCGCCCAAATATGATTTGTCCAGGGTCACGGCCAAGGTGATTTTATACTATGGTCAAAACGATTTGTTGGGCCAGCCCGAAGATGTTTCCAGACTCTACTTCAAGTTGCCCAATGTGGTGCTCAAATATCTCGTGGACTATCCCAGATTCAATCATTTGGACTTCACGTGGGGCATAGATGTACCTGAGCTGCTCTATCACCGAATGTTTAAGACTATGCGTTATTTTGAAGGTGCTGCGCTTAAGGAGGAAGAGGCTGCGGATAAATGAGTGAAGAATAAAAACAACTTGCACTTAAGACGCATTAGAACATTTTATGCAAATATATATGAAATAAAGTTTTCCAGATAAAATAAAGGTTAAATGATAAAAAGTTGAATGTATTAACTAATTAATTATTTAAAATTTTAAAACAATATTGTATTGTCTTTTTGAAATAATACACGGACCGTAATAAAACATGTATCTTCCTGAGACTGTCTTAAGAGATATGACTTAAAAACTGAAATTCGACTCAACTCCATCTAAAACAAATATATATATATTCTATGGGATCTGCCACATCAGCTTCTGCCTTTTACAAAATATTAAATATTAAGAGCTATCGACAACATTGAGCACGAGAACTAATTTCTATGACTAAATCTTGACACCTTCTCGCAAATTTCTCAGAGCATTTGTTAACTACACTGAGATTATTTGTGGTCGACTGAGTCAATACAATTGAATTTCATGTGTAAATTTCATATGACACCCAATTCTATTATTATTTTTAAGCATTTGATTATTGAATTTGTCGATTATGTCGATGAAACGATTAGTTTCCTTTTAAACTATGAAACATATGCGTATATGAATTTTTACAATTGATTTATAAATATTTATATAGAAATAAATATATACAAATATATAAATATGTATAAATATATAAATATATATATTAATGTATAGCTCAATAGTAAACTAAATAATGAAATATCTTTATTTTTTTATATACATTTATGTTTTAAAAGTAAATTTGAAAAGTATGAAATGTCAAATTTTTTTTTGCAAAAGTAATTTAAGATCATGTTATTCCTTTGCATATATGAGCAAAGCAAGATTAAGTTTTTTGCAGGGCCGCACGGGTAATCCCAAGTCGATAAAAATGATTGAAATTCTTTTAAACACAAAGTTAAATACTCTCAAATGATTTGTATTTTTTGTTTGCTATTTAAACATGCATAAATAATTACAAAATTAAAAAATATTTATAAAATAAGTAGTTAAGTAATTAAATGTTAATTTAAACTTTAACTGTTTGCCAGTTAAAAACTTGTAACAAAGATCAAGAAAATAGAATTAAAATTAAAAAAACAAATTAAATTCGTGTTAACAAATATGCTAAACAGTTAAGCTAACTGAGTGTAAAAGACAAGTTGAGCTTAGAATCTGTTATATCTGAGCTTTGAAACTCGTTTGACATTGCCCCAGGAGCTCAATAAAGTAGGAATTGTTTTCTCTGATAAATATTTTGAATTATTTAACATTCGCAAAGAGCAAATTGCAGTCGCGTGTGTATTACTCAGCTACCATTGAACTTGATCAACTAATAATAAGCATTGTGGGACCTAACTAGCTATCGGCTACTTATGTCAAGCACCTCACTTAGTGAATAGTTCAGTGAGAGCGTATCGAGCGTCGAGAACAGTTCAACAAAATTAGCTATCGAACAACTGAAAAGAACTTAGGGAGAACTTAAAAACATCATTATTAACTAAGTCTAATTCGCAGTATTAAAGTGCGTGCAAAATGAATTTGAGTTGGAACAAATAGTATTTTACTATTTATCACTAATGCAGACACCAAATATGGGCAAAAGTCTGTATTAAATAAGCTGAATAAGCTAAATTGAATCATTTTAAAAATACGTTTACGGCATTTGATGCGTGCCACAGCGGTTTATACGTGATTTAATACATATTACTTATTGTAATTGACGTAAGTATGTTTAAGTTTGGATTGAAAGTGTGATTGAAGAAGAGATATATAATATAATTTGATTATATTTAATATAATATTATATATTATATATGAGCTCTACATCAGATTCTATTTTGCATCAAATTATAAGAAATAAATCTTTTATGTATGAAATTATTTAACGATGTAATAGAATTGATGTTGATAATGTTTGGCTGCCTAAATTATGTGGTTTGGATATTAAGTTTTGGCGTTGGTTAATAATATTCTTAAGTGCAAGGATCTTCTCAGTGAACTGAAACAAAAACAAGCAACAAATTTAGAAAAAGTTAAGCAAAATAGACGAGTTCAACTGGTTAAATACTCGTGTAACGAGAAAACGCAAATAAGCTTATCATAAAATCGATTTTTGTAGTTGTAGTTTGTAGTAGTAGATTATTTATTTGTTCGTCTATAGATAGGATCAATAGTGAAAATATGTTAGTTCCGCAATTGAACTGTAAAAGATATACTTATTAGCTGTATTACCTCACCCAAACTAGGCGTGCATTTACAACTTTTTGCTTGGTTTGCAGAGAGTATAAAGGGTAGTCTATTTGCCAATAATTCAGGCTGTGTTTATAAAGTGTGGATGATGTACTATAAGATGACTTGCCACTAGCCAAAGAACATTACTTAAATCATTTTTGCTCAATTTACAAAGATGAATAAAAGAGTTCAGTGGGGTTTTTGTTATAAGAAGCAGAGCTATACATAATTTTTTCTAAAAGCACATATTTCAAATATCAATTCTATAATTTCAGTATCGACTTTAATAACAGCTTTAATTTTGCTAAAAATTTTGTAATTCTCGAGAAATCTTTAGACTTGCCATTACTATATTTAAAATGATTTTTTCATTTATTCACTTAGATAGCGAGCGATAGTAAATTATACCATTTAAATAATTTTCTATATATTTCTCATAATTATGCATAGAAACGAAGGTAATACGAGCTTTTAGCACTTGCATTGACATCGAAATAGTTTTCGATTTAATAAACTGATTTTGAAATTTATGTATTAGCTGCCACAGAGGTCATCAGTGAGAGCTTTTATTTCAGTTTACCTTCATTGATTCAACAAATGTTTTATTTTATTTTGATATCAAAATACCCTGTACAAAACGGAATGATTTTATTAAATAGTATGTAGAAGTAGAGATAGAAGTAGAAGTAGTCGGAAAATAGCTAAGATATATATAAATAAAATTTATAAAATATTAAAAAATTAATTAAATTGCAATTGAGAAACTCTAAAAGAAACTCTAAGTCAAGACTAATTTTTAGCGCTTAGAAAAATTCTTTAACTTAATTTTATTCCTCAATCTCTGTGTTTAAATTTATAATCAACAAACCTTGCGAAATATGTCTATGTACAGGGTATATACAAGTTCAGTATTCTCAACTGGTTTTATCAGCTTATCACACTTTGTGAGAATCTGTTGCAGTTACATGTTAACTTTGAAGCATTAAACTTGAACTAGACATGCAATTTATTAATTAAATTAACGATTCAATAACTTTTTGCAATATAAATTTGATTTGCTTGTTTGCATTCTGCAGGTTAGTGTGTCAAGCGGATATATCACTAGATAATTGCCAACAACTAGTTTTCTATAGTAAATACTATATATATCCAAAAACTTAATATGAAGCGCTTATATTACGGCCTGATCTGTCTGTGCTTCAATGCTAATTGGCTCCTGGCGGATATTGTGCAATACGATCCAGCGGTAATAGAAGATGCGCATTTGCGAACTGTAAGTGTTACCTAATATTTATCTATATAGTATAATAATACTCTGTCCCTCTCGCTCTCTAGCCTGGTTTGATCAAGAAGTATGGCTACAACTTTGAGGAGCATAAGGTGGACACCAAAGATGGCTTTCGTTTGACACTGCATCGCATAGCCAAGCCTGGGGCGCAGCCTGTGCTGCTGGTGCATGGTCTGGAGGACAGCTCCTCGGCGTGGGTTATGACGGGCTCTGGCCGTGGCTTGGGCTATCTGCTCAGTGATCGCGGCTATGATGTCTGGTTGATGAATTGCCGTGGTAATCGCTACTCGCGCAAGCATCGCAAATTTCATATATACCAACGTCAGTTCTGGGACTTTTCGTTCCATGAGATAGGCATTTACGATCTGCCCGCGACCATTGACTATGTGCTGGCCCTCAGCAAGGGTCACGCTCAGCTGCACTATGTGGGCCACTCGCAGGGCACCACGGCGGCCTTTGTGCTGGGCGCCGAGAAACCAGCCTATATGAAAAAGATCAAACTAATGCAGGCCCTCGCCCCGGTTGCTTATTTCGAATATCTTGAAATGCCACTGCTTCGAGCTCTGGCCCCCTACATGCCAAGCATTGTGGTAAGTTTTACTTTGAAATAAATTCTGATTTCTAATTTTTATAAATAATAAGAGAAAAGTATGAGAGAAAACTTCAAATATGTATATTTTCAATTATAAGGCTTTAAATTTTAAAGTATTTTATACCAAATACTCCGAGGCACTCTTTAGTTTCTATCTGCCAACAATTTGAATTTTATTAGAAGTGGCTAACTACCTCAAATATATTTATGAGATATAGTATCAGCATTGTTTGGTCAAGCAAATTATTGGCAAAGTTTTTACGGTTAGTCATAATAAATTTTCTATAAATTTCTATGTTACGTCAAGCTTTCATTTATTTAGAAAATGCATATACAAATATTCAAATTTCTTATACATTTTACAGCGTTTGCTTCAAGGTCTGGGAATTAATGAATTGCCACCGGAAACAGAAGTCTGGCGTGAATTAAGCTACAAATATTGCAGCCTTGCATTTCCCAATACGTGCGCCAATTTGATAATGCAATTAGTTGGCATAGACCTGGAGCAGGTGAATATCACACTTACGCCTATAATTCTGGGCCAATATCCTGCTGGCAGTTCGGTCAAGTCTGTCAGCCACTATAGCCAGCAGGTGCTGAGCGGTGGTTTCTACAAGTATGACTACGAGAGTCCCTATATGAATTGGCAAGAATATGGCACTATTACGCCACCAGCGTACAAGTTGGCCAACGTTAACTGCAAAGTCGCCTTGTTTTATGGCCAAAATGATTTGCTCGTCGCTGTCAAAGATGTGCAGCGGCTGCGCAAGGAGCTGCCAAATGTTGTGCACGATGAGAAACTGGCCTACAAAAAATTCAATCATATCGACTTTCTCACTGCAATCGACGTCAAAGAGTTGCTCTACAACAGCATGTTTCAAGTCATGGAAAAGGTCGACAAAGGCGAACTCTAGTTGGAAACGAATACAATTTCTGATGTAATTGAAAAACCGAAACAGTTTTTGTTTCAATTTGTAAGTAAATTTGTAAGAATATACATATACTCTACCTCAGCCACGGATTGTTCTTAGAGCCATTTAGTATAGATACTAAATGTATTAGTAAATAAGTAAAAGTATTCGAAATAAAATTCGAATACTTTTTCTTATTAATTATACATTTATAAAAATATTTTAAAATGCAAAAAAAAATTGTAAAAATTATAAAAAGCCAAAGTGATTATAGTAATAATTATAAATGTTTAATTTTATAATATAATAATAATAAAATAAAATATAACATGCTCGCAATACAAATAAATAAATAAGATTGTTAATAATAAAAACAATATTAATCATTAAAAACAATTATATAAATAGAGATTTCTATAATTAAATTCTTAATTATATATTTATATTTCTATATAAAATATTACCTATGATTATAATTAAGAATCAGATCCAAGAGTTGCCATAGCCGTAGCAGCTTCATAAAGTATTGCAACTTCCCCCAGTCGAAAATTTCTCTGTCTCGTTTACTGTTTCAATAAATTTGCCAGCAACTCGAGTTTAACATCAGTGTTGGAATTATTTTGGCTATTTAATATGTTTCAAGCATGGATGAAGCTATTCAAAATTTGCCTTTGCCATAATTCGATAATATGTTAACAAATTTTGCATTCTGTATTTTGCATTTTGCGGCAAATGTGTTGCAACTAGCTAAGTGCAATTAAATGCTGCATAAATGCGCCAACTGAAGTGTCCAGAAAGCCACTTAAAACAGACACTCAACTATACAAATATGTATACATATATATATAAATATATTCTAAATTCACTTTGCATCGCACACAATTATTGTAATTTTCTATGAGGCATTGAAATGGAAAATGAGATTAAATATTTAAATCGTAGAGCAGCCTGTGGCTAGCCAAAAGTACGTGTACATGAGCGTGTGTGTGTCTGTGTATGTGTGTGTGTCTGAAAACTCTCTATAACTGTGGAAAATTTATTGCAAGTACATTTTATTTAAATGCTTTTCATGCTGACAATGCCAGTGGAGTGTCTAAAGGGCAGAGAAACGTGGGGCCAAGAAATGTCCAATGACAAATGCAAAAAGCTGCCAAAAAATAACACAGCACAAAAATGTTGGCATTGGCATGTGTGTATGTGTGCGAACGGGAGTGTGTGTGAGTGTCGACAACCGCAAGAAAATAAAAGTGACATTTTATAAATGCAAACTTAATCATTTGCAGTCTGCAGCTCGGCCATAAAACCAAACAAAGCTACACAGCCCAAGTTCCTAATTGATTTTATATATGGTACTTCGTTTTTAAATATGTGAAAAAATTCGATGAAGAAGTTTTAGAGCTTTATAAACATTTAGGAGATCTTAGATAGATTTAAGAGTCTTATTATATTTAGGTTCATTAATTGATTTTACACTTTGTGACCTGCAAGTAAGTCATTTAATTAGACGTTAAGGATAAAATAATATATATGATTTATCTTGCCCTTGCAATTAAATATTTATTTTATCAAATATATCGATAATATCTTCGATTACTAAACATATGCCAATATTAATTTTTGATATTTTGCAATCCAGAATAATGTTGGGACCGCGTTTAACAGTGTAATTTAAGAGCGGTAATTGATCCAATGTAAGACATTACGCTCATTTGATACCTTTATTCTCTATTCCTCTCATGGTTCTTTAACTCTCGATCAAACGCATTGGCTTGATCATGCTAAGCCATGCTCTCGTAGTTCGAGCTTAGCGTTTGAATGCTGCAGTTGTGCGTATAGCTCTGGTGTTTGAATTGTCTATATTACAAATATTTTCTGAGGATTCTTTAATTGGATTTATAGCAACTAATTGAGTTATTCAACAAATATATAATAATAATAATAATGTAATATTATTAATAAATGGAATATTTAAAAATTTTATTAAAATTTACACAAAATACTAATGATTTCTAATCAACTATTTATTTTTTGAAAAATGTTTTTTTTTTTAAGCTGAGCTACTTTATGTCTTTATGGCCATTTCATGTCTTCATGTAAAAACCAATTTCAAATGTCAAATCTCTTCAGTTTTAACTAAAGTTTTGATTTAAAGTAAGAAATAAATTGCAATTCAGTTTACAAAACGAGTTTCATTTTGTTTCTTGGAACCTTTTGATGTATTTATTTGAAATTTAAACAACTTTGCAACGTGTCGGCTACTTAATATCGTTGTCAAGGAATCAGCTTTGCCACAACGTTTGTTGTTGTTGATGTTGATGGTGTTACTGTGGTTAAGGCTGAGTCCTCGCAGCAGACACTGCCCACTGTGACATATCAATCATGTGACTTGACCAAGCGGAAATCGAGTTTTGCTTCCAGTGTTTGGGAACTTTCTCGTAACTCTGCTCCCTCATCTAAAAAACATGCCACCAATATGCTGTTGTGAATGAAATTCGTTAAAATCCTTTTGGTCACCTTTTGTCTCAGACATTTACATGTTTGGCCTGTTCTCGATTTGGAGTGTTCAAGGATGGTGGCTGAATAGCTGAACGGCTGTTTGTTTGGCTACCCGCTTGGCATGTCCTGTGCTGCATGGCAAGTGATAAAGGCGACACCCCGGGCAACTAACTAAAATTTGATGCTCGAACAAAAGCCGCTTGCCAACCAGAAAGCCAACAGCAGCAAAACCAATCGAAGTCAGTTCAAGATTTTGCGTACGGATTTGCATTTGAATGAGAAATGAGAAATGGGAAGTGGCCAAGTTTGCGCTTAGATTTTTTTCAAATACCCTAGAAAAGGACCAATTTAATGGGCAGTTGAGCAAGTGCAAGATTGAATGATTGCTCATGATTGACTCATGTTGATTGTGGCTGACAATGGCTGAAGTCACTTAAAATTTCTTTTTTTTCTCTGTCAGTTTCTTTTTTACTGTTTCCCAACAAGAATTTGTTTATAAATTATACAAATAATTTTTCTCAAAGTTTTTCATATACATTATTAAATGGAGTATCACCAAGTCAGCCATTCCAATTCTTACAATATTCTAGTTTGTTGTTCTCTGTTGTTGTGGCTTAGCTCAAGTGGTCGTTCGTATGGAGTTCTTGGTTTTGCGGATCTATTGTTTTCTATTTGTTTGCTTGCCAGCACAGCAACAACAATAGATATAACAACAACAAACTATAAAAGTTTTTGGCTATGAGCAGGCAACAATTGAAAATTTGAAATGTTCTTTGTTTAATAGCGAAATTCATTGCATATTCCATACTTTTTAAATAACACAATCTGTGGCTTAAGATTATTCAGTCTAAGTCTAGGTATTAAAAATTGCCTAATATATTAATTAATAGTGATTTTTGAGTCAAACGTTTCTGTAAAGATTTTTGATTATTTTCGTATTTTGCGTTAAGAATTTGAAATTATAAAAATATTTTTTAAAAAGATTTCCTTGAAATTGTATTATAAATTTTTGTGATTTTCTTGAATGCAATTATTCTTTCAAATAACTTTTGACTTAATTGAAATACCTTTCGAGTATAGCGTATATAATTTGTTATTGGTGCTTTACCTTCAATATGTGATACCGTTGTAAGTGCTGCCCAGTCAACAACCCCTCAGCCGAAAAGTAGTTATGCAACTGCTGTGTGTAAAGTATTTGATTTCATAATCAAAAGCGCAATTTGATTTGGCCACAATTTAATTAAAGCTCGCCTGGAAAACACCCCGAAAAACTGCTAAACAAAAGCTCCATTTGCCCCGCCCTACGAATTTTTACATGTCTAGTCCTTTATTTCTATTCCCATATCAAAGACTCCCTCCCACTCTCTTCTCTTTTCAGCTAGCCTAGACTACGCTTGTGGGGGCAGTTGGAACATCTGCAGGCTTCACAGAGTTTTACATGCGGCTTGAGTACATCAAAATGTCTAAAATTTCATAATTGCAACTGGTTTCATTCCGTGGCGCTCCCCTGTGCTCCCCAGAGTGTGTGTTGCGTGTCCTGTTGGCTGCTTGTTTTTCGTTACCCCAACAATGGATGCAACCAAATGCCCGGCATCTCATATGGCCAGACCGCAAAACATTTAATTACGTTACTTTATTCTTTGTTATTATTATTACTATTTGCTGCACAAAACACAAACAACTTTGCGGTGAAGACGCCTAAATGCTTTGCCTGCAATTTCACGAAAAAGTAAATAGTCCAGTTTAAGGCATTTTGCTGTTATGGTAGAAATTTTTGCTTTTGAATTTAGGTAAAGGAGTCGGTAATTTTAATAATTTATAATAAATTCTTTGTATTTCGTATTATTTTTTTGTCTATTTCAGACAATTTAAAAAAATGTTTAGTACTCTGTGAACATTTATTGGGAATGGAATTTCTTAATCAAATTTTCAGAGACTGAAAATGATTATCTGCCAAAACAAAAGTCTCTGCTATAGTCTGCGCGAGATGTGAAGGCATCTCTAATCCAAAAAATAACCGTTTTATTTTATACAGCTGCTCACAGGAAAGCTTTCACGAAAGTTAAAGTTGCATCTTTTGTGGCAATCACACTAAAAGAAATCAAATTATCGATAACGGAATGAGATGAGCTAGCGAAAAAAATTATAGAGTTCTTATGTGTATAGTATACATGAATATATATTTAAAATTTCACGTCTCTAGAATGTGTGGCTTACGAGTTTACTGCGTTCATGCGGAAGCACTCAAGAACAGTCGAACATAAGGACAATTTGAATTGGTTAGATTAACTCAACTCATTTCGATCAAGAATATGTAGACTTTATGGGGTCTGCCATGCCTTCTTCTGCTTGCTACATAGATATTTCCTAAGCAATGAAAAACTGCAACCTTTGCTCAAGGAAGGAGAGAGAGAGTTAGGGAGACAGAGAATGGTTTGATGGATGCGAGTTTAATCCATCAAACCATTCTCTCTCTCTCCCTCTCTCCTTTCTTCTCATACAATTGAAGCGCGGCATGTGCACTTCATCGATTGCTGCCGCATTGCCCCATATCTGCAGCAGCTCCTGTGCTCGGACGTCATGTTAGCTGCTAATTGAAAATAATTTTAGCTAACGATACAAAAAATGGCGAGCGCTTCAACTGAAAAAGTTAATGAAAAATCAAACCCAGTTTCTGCATTGCACTCTCTGTGTGTGTGTGTGTTGTGTGTGTATGTTTGTTAGCCGAGGCCAAAAGGTGCAATGAGGCTGCAGCTGAAGCAGGTTCGGGCCACGACAGCTGCCAACGTGCAATGCATGTCAGGCAAGCAGCCAAGCGGAAGTGCTTAGCACCAACACCAACACCAATACACACATTCACACACATACACACACGCATACATTTCTTGGTTTAATAACGGCAAAGTGAAAACAAACGCGTGGCCAGCAAAATATTAAATAAAACTAAAGTATTTGGACGCATTCTGAATACACTTTGAAGTGAGTTTTCAACTATAATATAAAATACTAAAAATATATAGATTTTTCTGACAGGTGTAAAGTTTAAGCACAAGCTTGTCTTATTTTAAATGAGATATTCTGACTTTAGTATATAGGTGAAGATGATAAAGTATTGAGTAGCTGCACAGAACTCTTACTGAAGATCTATCCGTCCTTATGGCTGAATCAAGTACGCTAAAGATTTAAAATTAAATAAAAAATTTAAAAAAAAAATATATATATATATCTTATATCTTATACATATATCTTAAGTTATTTCTGCACTATTTATTCTCTTATGCATTTCATATGCCATATCACATTTACAATACCCCTAGCCAGGCTATAAAGCGTAAAGCTAGAAAACTTACGGAAAACTCGATCTGGCTAAGTAAACGAAAATAGTTTTGTATAAATATCGTATGTGTGTGTGCGTGTGTGTGTGTTCTACCTGTTCAATGTGGCCACAGGCATGCTGGCTGACGTGCCTGAAAGCCCGTGTTAATACTTGAAAATAATTTATCGAGTGCATTTATAATTGATGCTGTTGTTGCCTTCACTTCCATTGCAACTTCCTCTCTCCCCCCTCTCTCCTTGTTCTTATTTCTTATGCTTTTGTTCTTATTACACTTAGCACAGCAAGCAGAAGAACTAGCAGAAAATGCAGCATATTTTCAATTAGAATTGAACATGTGGGAATTTGTTTCTTGGGTTTCGGCTTAATTAAGTTTTTGGCTTATTTTAATTTATATTAATAACTCTGAACAATGTTGCCTCAGTCTGTCGACAAGTTTAATTTGCTTTAACAATATGAAATTTATCAATTGATTTATGCAATTGCATAGTGTAAGTTACATAAATGTCTTAAAGGTAAAAAGAGTAAATTCAAACATGTCAAAGGGCTTTTACTTCAATATTACAAACAAAAGAATTATTTGATATTTTATCAACTTTTTTTGTTACCTGCTCAAAAGTCTCTCCCACTCAGCCAAAACCCAAAACTCAACTTGAGATTTAGTTAGCCGCCTGGCAATTTGTCATGGCTCATAACTTCCACTCGCAGCCCCATTGCAACTCGTTAGGCAAAAGCCATCAGAAAACCAAACCCCAAAAGGGAATCTTCCCAATTTAACGCGAGTGTCATTTGCTTGAAAAACAAAATAAACCTCAGGCGCAGCAAAAGCCAAAAAAGAAGAAGTTAACAAAAATTACAAAAATAAAAAAGAGTTAAAAAAAAATCTAATTAAAAATTTGCAGCCCAGCTGCATGGCTAACCCCACAAAATTTGTGCCTCGGCCACGCCTTCCCCTGTCCAGTCAAACGCTCGCAGCGACAAACAAAAAAGCAATTACAGTGCCTCAAACTGTTGCAACTTCCTGCACTGTACTGACAACAGAGGCGCTAAACTTGGGGCCCAATATTAGCAGACAGACGAAC